GTCGGCTTCTGGCCAATCGTGTGCAACCTGTGTTGGGCGTTTTCGAGGTCAAAGCAGACGTTATCCCCACCCGCATCCTCTCCCGGCTGCTTGCAGCCCACACTGCACCTGCCTGCTGGGTTAACGCCCTTCATTTCCAGAGACAAAAGGGCTCAGAATCTTGTAGGTGCTCAGGGGAGGAAGGCAGAACCTTGGGAGGCCGCAGACAGTCTGATCTATTATCTCACCACGCTGCACTAGTTTGTGTTGCCAGAGGATGAATCCAGTTAAGTCTGAATTTCACATAACTGCTAAGTTTTTAGATATATGCGTCTTGTAACGGAGCATCCTGTATTTTTTTTAGCATGTTAGTCTTTTTTTTTTAAGGATTTTATTTATTTATTATGTATACAGCTGTCTGCCTGCATGCCAACAGAAGGCAGTAAATCTCATTCAAGGTGGTTGTGAGCCACCATGTGGTTGCCGGGAATTAAACTCTGGACCTCTGAAAGAACAGTCACTGCTCTTCGCCGCTGAGCCATCTCTCCAGCCCCCTGTAATTTTTTTTTTAATTAAACTTTTTCTGGGACGCTATTAACACTACTGAAGCATGGGATTAGAAGCCTAACTGGAGCAAGACCCTGGTGCCGGCAGAGTCATGAAGGGAGGGAGGGCTGTGAGCTTAAGGTCTGAGATCCAGCGCGGACTGGGCAGTGCTAACCCTGCCCCTTGACCTCTGCGTTGCTCTTCCAAAAGGACGGGAGGGCAGGGAGGCACCTTCGACCCCCTCACCTACCTGCTTCATTTAAAGAGTAAAGGCAAGAAGTTTAAACAGGTGGCACCCGACCTTCATTCAGGAGCAGGGAACTCACTCCAGGTTCCCAGAGAACCCCCAGCTCAGATCTGGGTGCCCAGGGCTGCAGCTGAGCTCCTCTGGCCCCACCAGTAGTCACTTGGTCAGTCCTGCTGCCTTGACCCCATCTCCAGGAGGGGCAGAGGCCAGAGGGAGTAGAGGGAGTCCAGACCCCATGCCTTTTGAGGCATGCCTTGTTAGGTCGAGGAGAGGGGCTCTTGGGTCACTGGTTGTAGAAGGGATCTGGTGAGGGTGGCATTTCTTCTGGGCTGGACATGGAACGGGAACTTCAAGACTGCAGAACCAGTCCCGTGGGAGCTACAAAGCCCGAGAATCGCTCCATGGTCTGTCTCGGTTTTCCTTGGATCTCATCTGCTCCTGAACTGCACCTGCCATGGCAAGTCCATCTCCAGCCCCCATCTCTCCAGAGCCGATGGGAGGCAAGTGAACAAAATTCATTGGTTTCCCGATCATGGTGCGGTCGATCCGTCTTCACCTCTTCTTCGGCTGAGGCTTCTCTACCACGCAGCAGCCCAGTTTGTGCCAAAATTCACTCATATTCCCTGATG